TGCATCAATAGTTCTAGGAGTGAATGCCCTTATTACAAATGAACAGCAGAGGGGGACTGGGGGCGTCTGCTGCACCAGTGGTTCTAAGAGTGTATGCCCTTGTGGCAACTGAAGAGTGGCATGGGTATCATGTAAAAAACCTACAAAACGTCAAAAAAAAAGCCTACAAGATGTCATCTTGCACACTAGGTAGTTTTTAGGACGCAAACGGTCATTCCATGTTTGCTCAATAGGACCGTTGTGAACGTCCATCTAAGGAGGAATCATTCAACTAAACTACAAGCGTTATTGGTTGCATATGTTAAGTAGGCCAAATGGTCCTTGTCTGTAGTTTTTATCCCTGAGAAGAAAGTTGATTGAATAGCAAGATCGCATCTGGATGATTATGTGTATTGGTCTGCATGTGTATAAAATCAGTGGTATTTGTTGTGTGAGAAAATCATTACTGAATATGCTGCCAATGAAGTATATCTATTGGCTGTGCCCGACGGGTTACTTTTATGTTGTGCTTTCTGAAAGAGAGGTTATGTTCAAAGTTATAAATTACGAAAAACTGAGGAGAACTACAGGAAATGGTCATAGCGCCCGCGATGTGGGTAATTACTGTTAACATGTATATGGCTTGTAATTCGACAGAGTACAGTGAACATAATTCCCAACTAACAATTATCACTCCTATTAGAATTGCAAGAATGATTATACAGTATTCCTTACACAGCATTGTATACTGTAAAAACATTGGCAAAACCCTCTTAGAACAGCTATACAAGCGGAATGGGCACACCTAATAGGACACTTCAGACATTTAAGAGGTTGTATAAGGGCTGCAGGTAACAGTTATACAACAAAAGTGTAAGCCTCTTGCAACCGCTATAGGACATTTGCGTCAGTGCAAGATTCAGTTTTTGTCAACTATACAACTATTCTGTTACGTGATTCTACTTTATTGCAACCAAACTATTTCTTATGTATTGTATAGATGAAGTGAAGAATATATAACTAACACAATACAGTCATCTTGTTTACTTACATATCGGCCATTGTGAATTTCATACCCAGGTATATGATAGACTTCTACACTGTGATATAGGGCTATTGAATAACTTGCGCAGCAAATTTTATTGTGATTATCGTGCAAAATAGTTATGCAATTTCTACGGGGTTCGTATTAGATTCATATTTTGATAATGATCAAAAGTATGTCTAGATTTTTAAGTTGGAAAACTGAACTTATCTGCGTTAAATCTTCCACAAATCCTATATTTAGACACAACTACACTAATGTTTATCACTTTATATCTGTAATTTCGAACTGAAACATATTTATTTAATATCAAATAGAGGAATAAATGTTTGCCCAATATGGCGGGTGGTTGTGAATAATCATGGCATCGTCCATGTTGTCTTTAGTTTATTAGAATATTTTGGTGTTGCCTGCAGGTGTTATACAACGATTTGAGAAATGTCTGAAATGAAATACCGACAGAGTCAAATGATTTACCCAGAATTTGTACCAGATCTATGTCTTCTGTTTGAATAGTTGATAAAACCTTTTGAACCAATATGCATGCGTGTTTGTCTTAAATCATTGGTTATGGCATTTTAACAAAAATATGACAGCAGAAAGTTAGGTTATGGTGAAGTTGTATACCAACATATTTAGCATATGTACAGCCTTTAACAGTTACTAAACAACAGTTGTATAAGTGCTTCCGTTGGGAGCAACTTGTTGGCTAAAGTAGTAATATGCAGAGCAAAACAACAAGGCTCGGGTTTGTTTCATAAACGTTACCATGGATGCCACAACACAACCATTTTGACTAACCTGCAAATATGCCGTATAAAATCGTTGTATACACGTTTATGCAACAGCTAAAAAATTGTCCTATAAGGTGTTGTGTAACTATGCTATAAGAATATTTTAAACACCTCATTTTAGAGCAAATATGTTGCAGAAAGCAAATTTGCATTCCACACAACATTAAGCCAGCATTTTGGTGTTCAGGCAACAACAATGGCTGAACGGTTCTTTTACCAAACGCTTATAGCACTACTTTGCTAGTTGGGTTATTTCTGATCTCTCTCATTTTTGAAATTCAGCAAATTTGTATATCTAATTTCCAGAATGGATAAGAAAAAGTGGATGCGCAATTAATTTCTAGCTTTGAATCTCAGTTCAGTGTATTTGAGTCAAGAACCCAATGTACTTATCATCAACACATACAACTTACAGCTTAGACCTCCAGTAATGCCATCTCAGAAGCAGATTTTACATCACACACGAGTATCACGTATCTTGAAAAGTGACTTTGTTATGATTTTGTTTGACATTATGCTGATTTCTTCTAACATTATGACTTAGTTGTACGTGTTGCCTAAACGTCATGAGGCTTGTTATCAATCTTTGGCACTGACGTGATGTAAAATCTGCTTCCGAGATGGCATTAGTGGAGGTCTAAGGTCTAAGTTGTATGTGTTGATGATAATTACATTGGGTTCTTGTCTCAAATACACTTAATTGAGATTCAAAGCTAGTTACGCATCCACTTTTTCTTATTCATTCTGGAAATTACATATACAAAATTGCTGAATTTCGAAAATGAGAGAGATAAGAAATAATTATATTCACTGCACACTGTCGAATTACAAGCCATATACATGCTAACAGTAATTACACACAACGCGGGCGCGGTGATGATTTCCCGTACTTCTCCTCAGTTTTTCGTAATTTATAACTTTGAACATAACCTCTCTTCAGAAAGCACAACATAAAAACATCCCGTCGGGCACAGCCAATAGATATACTTCACTGGCAGCATATTCAGTAATGATTTTATCACACAGCAAATATCACTGAATTTATACACATGCAGACCAATACATATAATAATCCAGATTCCATCTAGCTATTCAACCAACTTTCTTCTTAGAGATAAAAACTAAAAACTACAGACAAGGACCATTTGGCCTCACAAAACATATGCAACCAATAATGGGTTTAGTTTAGTTGAGTGATTCCTCCTTAGATGGACGTTCACAACGATCCTAGTGAGCAAACGTGGAATGACTGTTTGCGCCCTAAAAACTACCTGGTTTGCAAGATGACAGCTTATACGTTTTTTTGACGTTTTATAGGTTATTTACATGATGGAGCCAAATATTGATAACAAGCCTCATGACGTTTGGGCAATACGTACAACTAAGTGCTAAGTTAATATCTTGTAGAAAAACCTATATAATGTCAAAAAACATCAGCATAATGTAAAAAAAAATCGGCATAATGTCACTTTTCAAGATACGTGATACCCGTGCTGGAGTGGCTTTCATTTCACAAAAGGTATAGCATACTCTATTATACAGGGACTTCGAAGTTGAGTCATTTATTTTAACAGTGATTAGATCTAATCAAAAGAAATGTTTTTTCCTTTAACATTTTTCTGGTAAAATTAAAGTAACAAAGTTATAGCCTCTTAGAAGTTTGAGTACCGCCCTGTCTCAATAATAATATTATGTGCTCGTGTTTGGAAACAACGGATATAATCCGCCTTATCGGTTCATCGCATCGGAAACAAAAAAGCAAAAGAATTTGAAACGCTTATCACGATGTTTTTACTACAACTTTATTCAGTTGTATTCAGTCAATGTGTCAGTCGGTAACGCGTGAGTGAATAGTGCTGTTTGTTGCGTGGCTCAAACGAAATAAAAAATGGCACATGTTTACGAAAATGCTGAACTTGTGGACATGATTCTTATCTACGGGGGGGGTCTTTACAAAATGCTCCTAGATCTGATCAAAAGAAATGTTTTTTCCTTTAACATCACGGATTTATGTGGATCGGTTTCCCAATCGAGTTCAACCAGACCCTGTTAATGTAGTACAAAGGGCTCGTGAATCAGGTGACTTAGAACCTCACAGGGGAGCGCATGCCGGTGCTCCAAGACCGCACGATCAAATACAGGTCCGCACTGAAATACTTGCCGGGAGGATACTTTATAACACAAGGTAACATTTTTTTTTATTTTTTCTTATTTTTACACACATATTTTGGTTTATCTTCCTTCTACAATTATTATCTGAAAATTAATGACTCAACTTCAAAGTATAAGGAAAATCGTAATAGGCCTGATGGTTCTGGGGGGTAACCCATACCCGAAGGCCCCCACCCCCTGAATATGCCAGTATGTCCATAAGTACATATACTACACTAACAAAGTAATATACCTGCCTTTGTGTAGGATAGGACAATTATTTAAAAGTATTGTGTCGTAAAGTTTCTGCGCTGTGTACAAGTATTTTGTGAGTCTTTATCTGCAAAATTTAGTATCGCACTTCGAATGATACACAATTGATGTATGAATACCGATGTCGCAATGTGATTGCACGGAATGGAATTTTTCTATATAAAAGGCTGAATTTTTTATTTAATTTAAACTAAGCAGATTAAAATTTACTACCACCTCTGTCGGCATATCACCTTCAAATATTTACACACCTTTGTACACTCAATGAACTATAATGGAATACATTATAATGAATAAATCCGGCGATATTTCAATAAGGACGCAATTTTTTACAATGTCTATTATTACGGTTGAAATCGTTACGTGCAATTCCTATAATAATGAGTATTCTAACAGTACATATTCTAGTGAAATGAGATTCACAGAAAAATTCGGTTAGGATGTTAGTACAGAAAATGTAATATACTACTCAGGATGGCTCATTCCAATTATTCATCTTACCTTAAAGTCACTGCACATTTGCCTTCTTCTCTTCAATCAAATGATGTTTTGTGTAAACCATCGACATTCATTCAGCTACTCTGCCAATGAAAAACGTTGCGAAAATCGCGGGAAAATTTCATAAACTGTGTGTGCACAGAACCATAACTGATGACAGCATGACACTGATAACTCGGTCACAATGGCCGCTATCGTGAATAACAACATCAAAATGAGAAAAATTTATTAGCTACCAACAGTGATTAACAAATACCCCAGTAAAAGTCTCAACATTGAAATTTGTTGTCGTCGTTGTTCTGGCAACTCTCAGCGGTCGCCGCCTAATGGAGTCAAGTCCATGATGTGTATCGAGATCCATCTTGAGATGCGGGTAGCATTGAGTAGACTGGGACTTGGTCACTTTCTACAGATTTTAAACTGTTCGTCCTAATAGCACTCAGACTGAAGTATAAGCTGGACGACCAGATAGGCACCTATATACAGGGAGTGTAATTTCAAAACTTTACATTTGCGAATTAGAAATGCAAGCAGACCTTTTCTTTTGGACAGCAATCAAGTATTAAACATGACTGGTTTCTGTCTTATCTAGGCAAATATGTCTAGTTTTGAAATTTTCCACATACTTCATCCATCACATACTTTTGCCATGAAATTTTTCAATTTAAGTGACTCTGTACTTGTTTCAGTGCCATTTTGTGACTTGGTACCTTTCCGCTGATTTTCAATTATTTGTTCTAATAGCCTTTACATTTTACTATGCTCTGAAGTATAAATTGGATGACAAATATCTATGGGCTTCTTTATATCTGACGATCTATATCATCTATGGATGCATTCTCTATTACATTGATATGGATGTTCTTGTTCGGCCCAGGTTAAGGTACCATTTTGATGTTTTATATGTCTGGCAAGTTGTTCGAACAATGCTCTTTTCAGATTCATTCGATAGCATGTCAGATTTGGAATTAAAGATAAATGAAAGCTTGACAGCAACTTCCTTTCTAACGAACATTTTTAAAATGATAAAATCCTATAACTTAGTAGCCGAAAATTCCAAAGTAAATCTATCATTGCCGAATTTCTAAGATAACGCTAAATTTCGGCTCAATATGAATTCACTATGACATTATGAATGTGTTTTCCAGAAATTTCGAATTAGTGCCATTTTTTGAGTCATTTCCAATCCTTGTACATTACCAATCTACATTGTCGAATATCCTTACTAGCTACATTGGGGTATTACTTGGAACTGTTTACATCAAGAGCAAAACTCTGAACCGTATTAAATACCTTAAGGCAAGTATTTTTTATTCACATTCAATTTTATTTCGCTCGAATTTATTCAAAATGAAAATTTTAAACTTTTTACACTTCAATTCCGTCGCATTTTGTCATCCAGAATATGTAATAATTACTTTTCTTCATAGTAAAGATATTTGTATTTCAGCTTATAAAATTACTCTGGCTTCCCGCATTCATCTTTTTCCCATTAATTGCTGTCTTTTTGACAACTATTGAATACAGTAGAATTATGGCAGCGATTATAGGGCCTATATTAAAATCTTTGTTTACACTTGGTATTGGAACTGGAATTTTGGGCATGTCAGTCAACCTAGGAGGTGAGGATTTTTTTTTACATTTTACTTATTACTACTCCTAAATGCCCAATGGAATCGTATTTCTTTGAGGCATCTTGAGCTTGATCTAACTTAGTCCTCGGTACTGATGTATCTTGTCTGTTCAATGTTATCTATAATACTATTTTTTTTAAAACCATTCCTTTTATTTTTCTCGGCGAAAATAGTGAAGTTATTTTCACATTACGCGAACTCACGAGCCATTACGCAAACTCACAAATCAAAATGTTAATAAATTGTTGGAAGAGCAGAAAGACCTCCTTATGTAAGCAGAGTCCCACCTAACGTAAGTTTGAGTTATAGCTCGTGAGTTTGGTGATACGTGTTGACTTCAAGTGATCCCGTCTTGACAGACATCATATAATATGGTGTATTTTAGGTGTAGTTAAAAGAATACTTGAATCAAGATTTTTGGAATTAATGGGCAACGTTGCTTATTGTACCTACCTATACCATATGTTTGTATTATTTTGGTATCTGGAATACTGGACCATGACTGGGAGCATAGTAAATATTGTGAGTATTTCGTGCATGTAGTGTATTGTTCTCAATAATTATAAAAGACGTTGATCTACTTGACATATTTTCTACCCTACTCTGGAGTATCATATAATGAATCATTGTTTTTTACAGGCATATAACTTAATTGTTGTTGTTGGATTAAGTTTTGTTGTCGGCTTATTGGCAACCTTGTTATTTGAGCTACCAGGACAGCATATTCAACAGTTATTGTTGCCACAAATTCCCAGACAATCGAAATCCAAAGACGCATAATTTTATTGAATTATTATTTTATAGTAATCACCACAGGGTTTGTTTTTTGGAGCTTTAGCAATTCAGTCCTGAGTGAGTTTCAACGTATGTCCTAAAAGTTTTGGCACCAAATTCATTGGCTTTAATTTTAACTAACTCAAAGTAATATCAAGTTGCCTTTGGAAACAAAAGTTTGTTTACTTGTTTTACTATCAGTTGACATTTATGTCTTTTAAAGTTTCCCTTTAAGACGTCGTCTAAAATTTGAAATAAGAAAAAGTATCTACAGGTTGGTTGGATGGGTATCCAAAGCTGAAATCTGTCGAATATTTCAGAATGAAAACATTTCACTGAGAAACATTTATTGAATAGTAGCGGAGTGCGACCAGGGAATACCATCTCCGAATCTCCCGAAAAGTGGAATACCACGTACATTTACTGCACAGAGGTCAGAGATATTGGTGAGAAGAGCAACAAAATCAGGCTGGAAGGTCAACAAGAAGGCTGGCTCGTAAATACAGATCTTCTAAGAGTACGATATCGTTGGAATCGAGGAGGAATAGGCTTAAATATCGAAAGAGACTCAGATAACTAAATTACTCTACCCTTCGTATACCAAGATGCTGTCATCAACTGAGACGGGTGGGTAACCTTCCCAATGGAAAAATCATTATTTTAGATGACGAAAAGTATTTTACTTTGAGTAATTCAGAAATGAAGGGAAACGACGGATTTTATACGGACAACGTAGAGGAATGCCTTGACAATGTTAGATGCAAGCATAAAACGAAATTTTTGCAGATAAAATGTATGGTGCGCAGTTTCTAGCAGGGGTGTATCCCAACTTTTTGTGCTATATTGATAACCGCCTTTCCAAATTGCTTCAGTTTGTCCACGAACATCATGCTAATGACTATATCATGTTGTTGCCAGACCTAGCATCATGCTATTACTCAAGAGATACCCAAAACTGGGTTAGACAACACAACATACCTTTAGTACCCAAAACGATAATCCTCCAAACTTGTCTCAGGCTCGCCCAATAAAGGATCTTTGGGCTTTACTGTCTATGAAGGTGTATCATGTAGGCTGAGAAGCCCAAGATGAAGAACAATTAAGACGGCGAATTTACGATAAACAGAGAAACTGATCTGAATTCCGTCCAAGACCTCATGAGAGACATCCGAAGGAAGTTGTGTCTGGTAGAGCAGAATGGGCCCTTCCAGATAATTCGATAGTATAGTTTAGTTGAGTATGAAGTTATGATAACTAGGTAGTGTTTAGGTGTTTAGTGCCAAAAATTTTAGGACATACGTTAAATCTTACAAAATATTAAATAACTATGAATATTATAGAAGATTAGGTAAGGTAAATAAACATTTTAAAAAAAAATCGTGTTTTTGGTCCGGGTTGGCCATTCCAAGTCCCTTACCCTTTTGTGGTTTTATTGTTGAGATACTCCGTAGTCAATTGTTACTTTTCCAAATATTTTGAGGTTAACGACGAATATGAAGAAGCAGTAGCATATGGTTTCGATACTTGTTATTAAACTGCATCCTATGAAGAGACTGTGTACTCCCCCAAAGGAAGCTGAAATGAAAAAACAAATTTCAAATCAAAGTTATGTTAAGCTGACACATTTATCTCTAACACTCGGTTAAATCTTGGCGCTCAGGTTGATCTTTTCATTAGGAAATCGTTCATTTTGTCATACAGCATGTTGCCATCAGTATTGCACTGCCGATCATCATATACAGTATAAACGGCAATGATTATTAAAAAGATTCGACCTAAAATCTGACCTCCGTTCCTCCATTTTGCCAAATAATAAAAAACAGACCGGTAACATCACTGATTAAGTCATACTCACCAGGTGATACTAAGTCAGTTATACCTTTTACACTCCCTGTGATGCCTCAGCTGTGTAATACGGGTTATAAAATACAGTATATGCACTCTGGATATAGCAATATATGACAACAGCGAAGGTCCATTTTTGAGCACTATGTTACACCGAGATAAAAGCTAATTATGTTGGTGTGGTCAGCTTTAAATAAAACGTCCCATTGTTTAATGGAATTCAGCAAGACAAGTTTTGTTGTGCTTGATAGAAAGTCCCACAGCGCAAAATGAATGTTTCCATAAGGTGCATGTACCACAGTACGACGAAGAATGGATATATTTTTGATTTCAAGTTATCTTTAAATTCGATTTCGACGTCACAAACTGAAATATTCATTTTTCCAGGATACCATTGATTAAACATTTCTTCAAGGATGAGAAGGAGGATTCATTTAGGTGTAACATTCCTTAAAGTTTATACTTTCTGTTCTCTCTCAAACTGGAATTTTTTTTATACAGGGCGTTACAGAATGTTTTCAGAAAGATGGAGGACAAAAAAGGTATGTATACGGAGTGTCCCAGAAGTCGGCGTTAAGCCGGAAACGGTTGTAGGCCAAGACATAATAGTCATAAAAAATATAAAAAAATCGAAGTCGTGTATTTTTCAAATTACAGGCCTTAAAAAAATTGGCAAAATCGGAGAAACCACACCCTGTGACGATCTTTTAGTTCCCGTTGCTACAAATTTCAATTTTTTTTGATGGAGTGACAGACAGTGTCACTCTAACGCCATGTTTATAAATTCATGATTGTGTAGAGCCACCATGTCTAGTACAGGAATATGCCAACATGGATCTCGTTTATGGAGAATGTAGATGCAATGTTAGTGCTGGAGCTAGGCTTCGTGAGAGGTATCCAAATGCTGCTCTTCATCCCGATTACTGAGTTTTCGTGAATGTGTACCGCTTACTCTCAGAGGGACTATTCCCAAATCAACCAAATCGTGGAGGAAGAATTTCCTTGCTTTACAAGCAGTCGAAGAAGACCCGAGTACTTCAGTACGTCAAATAGAAGCAATCATGGGAGTGCCCAAAAGAACAGCCCGCCGAATCTTGCAAAAGAACGATCTCCACCCGTGCCATGTTATCAAATGGTTCAACTCTAGACTTTTAACCGTAAATTACAACAAAACTTGTTACATTCCATTTTCATCCTGTAAACGGTATATGCCCAAATATTCAACTTTAGACATAACGCTAAAAATCAACTTTACATGTTTAAATATCTCATGAAATACTATCAAATGAAAGTATTTGATTATCCACTAGTTGGGGAAGTAGAGTATGAGACATACATGAAAAATCTTGAGAATACAAAAGTCCAATCTAAAGGTAATATACAGGGTGCGGCAGAGAGGATGGACGGTTTTAAAAAAATCATAAAATAGTAAATTTTTACTCGAAAACAAATTTATTGATGGAATCAGGTTCAGAAGGCATTTGAGACAGTCAAGTGTGGAAAATCACATCAGACACGTGGTGGCCGAAATCGTTGATGCAGTGCTCGAGGCGTTCTTGGAAGTGCGCGTAGACTCTTTCCAACATCGCTCTCTCAACTTGGGCGACTTCCACGCGAATTTCGCCATTCAATTCGTCCAGAGTTCGGGGCTTGTTCGCGTATACTCTAGCCTTGAGGTGTCCCCATAAGAAAAAATCGCATATGGATAAATCTGGGGACCGAGGAGGCCAATGACCATCTCCAAACCTGGAAATAAGGCGACCATCGACGCTCGGGCTGTGTGGGGGGTCGCCGCATCCTGCTGGAACCACACACGTCGGATTGGAACACGTCGCCGTCGTAATTCAGGGGGAAAGAAGTTGGTAATCATGTCGATGTAGCGCTCTGAGTTCACGATAACATCACGACCATTACCATCTTCGAAGAAGTAAGGGCCAATGATGCAAGTTTGCGATACAGCGCACCAAACCGTTACTTTTGTGTTGTGCAGCGGTCTTTGGTGTAACTGTTGCGGATTTTTATTAGCCCAATAACAACAATTCTGTTGGTTAACCATGCTGTTTAGGTGAAAGTGGGCTTCGTCACTCATAAACAAAATGAGGTTCTCATAATCCCCGGGCTGTAACTGTTGCATAATGGCCAATTTGTAGGGGTGAAAGCGGAGATTCATATGCAAAATTCGCCTTACCGAACGATCACTAAGGCGAAGTGCAGCAGCATGTTTCCGGGCAGATCGAGTCGGACTGCGAAGAAAGACCTGTCGAACGCGTTCAACATTTTCAGGTGCTCCTCTTGGTCTTCTGTTGATCAGTTCACTACGCCTGCGAAGTGATTCAACCCAACGAAGGATGGTGTTTCGAGAAGGAACAGCTCTATTCCGATGAATATGAAGTCGCGACGAAACTCACGCTGTACTACGATGACTGACTCATTATTTCGGACGAAACAATCATAGGCGAAAACGCGATGCTCCACCGTCCAAGGCTCCATAATGACAACTGGTAAAATAATGCTAGGATCTCACGAGTCAAACGGCACCCTCCCCACCTCTCTCGTAGACGGAGGCGGAGAGTACTACCCATCCCAAAAACGTCCGTCCTCTCTGCCGCACCCTGCATAATATGCCAAGAACATACCCAACAGAACAATCAAAAACCAAAATTGCAGTGCATGATATTCGACAACTATACTTCATCCAGACCATCATGAAGCAGCACCAACAAAAACATAAGCTACGCCAGACTGAGCACGACAATGATACCCGCCATAAAGTAAGAGCCTGTTCACTAAAGCCTAATGGCAATGCCATGCAGATATCGTTCCAATACCTAGGACCGAAGCTTTATAATCATTTGCCTATTACCTTAAAACAGTATAATTCTATGAAGTTTAAAAACGAACTAAAAAAGTGGATAAAGGAAATACCTCGCCCCCCACATCAGCTAATTCTTTCAAATCTGTATAAAACATTAAAATCTTTTTTTTTTCAAACTGTCAACGAATTCTTTTAAAAGCTTCTAATATATGCTAACTCACATATAAAATGCAACACCTAGAATTATTTATTGAGTTTTGATATAAACTTGTACTTAAACATATTTGCCATCATGGAAGTAGACGCTTTCCCCTATCGAACATGTGTGGGACATGGTAGGAAGAAGGTTCCAAAATTCATTAAGGTGGGATATCTTAGCAATTTCACAAAATTTCGAGTCAAAATTTCAATCACTTTCTATTTGTAAGTATACCTAAAACTTGGAAAAGTATGCTCAAAATTACAGCACTCCTAGTCAGTGTTTCATTTTCTATGTCATTTAGCATATTTGTATATTTATATATTTAAACATATGCATATGTGACTACTGTACCTATGATGACAATTATACAGATATAAACTGAACATTGGAGAGACATCTCACCACTCACAGGATTTGCTTCTGTGGGTATTTCATATTTATTTGTATGTTATTTTTATTCCACCTGGAACATTTGTAATTGTAATTGAAAACAAATAAATATTATATTATATATTATGTACAGCAAGTATAAGCTCGACAATCCCTGGACTATCACCTAAAAGTTAAGTTTTGTTAAATAATATTGCAGAGAAACCGAGAAGACCCGCGACTTTATGGGCTAATGAGTCAACATTTAAAAAAGATGGTTGCATGACTCTTCATAACTTACATGAGTGGCATGTAGAAAATCCACATCTGATGAGACAAGATAGAATGCAGTATCGTTGTAAAGTAAACATGTGGACCAGGATTCTAAATGGGAGAATCATTGTACCTTTTGAACTGCCAGGGTTCTTGAATGGCGAAATTTATTTCGACTTTTTACAAAACCATTTACCAAATTTATTGGAAGATGTGCCACTAAGCATTTACAGAGACTTGGATGGATAGGACGATCTGGTGCAATTTTGTGGCCAGCCCGTTCACCTGACTTGAATCCACTCGGTTTTTTATACTTTTGTATAACAGCTTTTTGAAGAAGCCGCCTTGCATACTATGAGATATATTTTATTGGTCAGCCTACATGATGCGACGCACGAGTACCTATCTGTGCTCATTGCAGGCACATCATGTGCTTTGCCACTTTGTCTCCCTCCAAGATGCATGGTCTTCATTCGGCGTTTTCCACAAACACTTCCGCATGTGGTGTTGTAATCTTCTCTCTTTACTACCGGAAGAGATCTTTGTTGTCTTATACCTCAGTTGTCGTACTTTGATCCTTCCCGTACACAATTACCTACCATAGTTTCGCTTAGGAATTTCCAGTCTTTCAAACAGATTTTTTCTTCATATTAGTTTCAGTGTAAATATTCCGGCTCGAATGTCAGTCTGATGACGCTTGAGTCACAGGCAGCAGCGGTGACCGCAGTAGTAGACTCTTCGGTCTCCTGATCAGTCCCCTTGCGCTGTGCGGGTTCGAATCCCGTCCCAGGAGAAATTTTTCTATTGGCTATGTGATTGTCCGTAGGTGGTAGACGGTCTCTGACTGTCGAACGCGGAGGTACCACCAGGCGGATCTCGTAGGCGGGGCCAGAATGTGTGCATGTTGCATGCACACGTGTTTCCTCGCCAGAGTCCGTGTGGCGTTCCCCCTTTCACCTGTAACCCCCTATATAGCCCCACGGTACCCCATGGGTGTTTAGGACTTAGGCCTTCGTGGTAGCTGGAGTATATAAAAAAAGAGTAGAGCGAAACATGTTACTTCGCCTTCTTTGCAGTTTTCTTTTAGAACAACCATCGTACTACTCGATCGTACGACAAGATCAACTACAACTTATAGATTGTTATGTTTTACCGTTCATTAACGTATAGGTGGAACACAATAATCAATGGTTTTTCTTTGGCTTTACATAACTTTAACATAGGCTGCTCGGCTGCCAGTTACCGTGAATAAAGGGATTGGCGTGCATAACATACTGAAAAAAAAATAGCTTGTTACTACTGAAATGAAAGAGTCTGCTCTTCATTATAACTACACGGTAAATTCACAAGTAATGAAATACATGGCGCTGACAAAAAGTAATAAGCAGCGTTTCGGTGAATCAGAAAATGCAAAGCGCGCTTCGTTTAGTCAAGTCGTTAAAACTCTGAGGCGTAAGCTTGACTCCGTTTATGCGCGAGCTGTAGTGGGAGCTCCGCTATAAATTGACCTCGTCTCTAACTTTTTTGTATGACCGCTTAGAAAATAAGTTTTATACAAAAATTATGGGGTCTAATGTATCTTTTTAAATGCAATACCCTCTTTGTTTTTAATGAAAATGATTCCCTATATACATATATGGTTTATCATGCTTATTCACGTTAGTTTGATCAAAAACTTAAATTTCAGTCAAATCAATTTGCATCTAGCCTCTTATGCAACCTGGTATAATGATAATAATAATAGTAATAAAAATAATATCAATAATAGCTTTACAGTGCAACAGTAACCTCATTTATAGGAGCTCAGTGGTAGAAGACAACAGGTTTAGCGTACGTACATACACTCCGTCTCAATTAATTCTCTAATAGAACATATAAATATGTCACAATGACAGCTAAGATGCATGAAGAAAATTACACATAATGTGGATTGACGATTTAACTAAAAGGTTGGTTCTGGCTCGTGCAGGTTTGAAAGTGATACAGTTACGCGATGTAAACGCAGGTACATTTATTTGGTACCAAATTTCAGGACAATCAATATCGTCATTTAATAATTTGAGAAAAAATATTGCAGCTGATATATTCCTTATCAACTCTAATGGTTTAACATCAAAACGCTCTCATAATTCAAAATTACTGATACCTTGCTGCGAGTAAATCCCCTCAGATTCAAAATACAAATATCTCAATAACTTCCTTTAAACTTTTACAATGTCATTAGCGTAGCATATGTAATATGGGTTCCATACAATACTTGCGTGTTCAAGTTTAGTGCGTAGTAAGTGAAGTATAAGACCTTCAGAGCACTTATAGAATGGCCTAGTATTTCTGACAAGGAAGCCGTAGGAGTTTAATGCTTTAGTTACTTTCAGGGAAATGTGAGCATAGAAAATTAGTTTTACTTCATAAATCAGTCATAAGTTCTCAACGCTATTACACCTTTCCAAAACCAATCCGTCGATGTTATAATTATATACATGAGTAGTCTTCTTCCTAGTGTAGCTTACAATCCTACACTTGCCTGTATTAAGATGTAATCTATTGCGTTCACACCAAACTGCGTCTGCAAGCTCAAACATTCCTCAGTGTCCTTAATTGGAGCATACATCTTCATATCATCTGCAAAACACAAATGCTTACGGCTCAAATCCTCGCAGAGGTCATTAATAAATGGAGAAAACAATAATACGCGTTTATTGCCCAACAGTTTAACACCATTTACAGAGCAAACTACTATGAAAAAAAAAACAAAATCACCATGAGGTAGCTTGTGAAGAAAAAAAAAACAATAATAATTCATGTATCAATAACAAAAAATAAATATAACTACAGCTTAAAAATAAGAAACGTAAGATAAATCAAAAGTGAGCACGCAATTTGCACTTCAATTCACCTATGCTATATAAGAATATGTCACATATATCGGCTATTTTATTCGCATTCACACACATCATGTTGATAGGCGCTTTCGACAATAACTTTGTTTGAGCTCTTTGACATAAAAAAGGAACATTATACCTTGATGTTAGTCGTGGTACCAGAAACTGTATTTGTGAAAGTATTGTAGGGCAGTCTATTAGATTATGCAGTAATTTATATAAAACTATAACTGCTGATTGCTGACGCCGTTGTTCTAAGGATTGAATGCCAAATTTATGAAGAAGGATGTTGTATTCTGTACCTCTAGTAGGATATATGCCATCGATCTTAAAACATGAAAATTTTAAAAATTTCTTTTGAAGTTTATCAACAACATCAATATACTGCTTGTAAATCGGACTCCATATCAAAGATCCATATTCAAGCTTAGACCTAACCAAGCTAAAGTATAATGTCTGCAAAGTCAAAACGTCAAAAAATTTACAATTCCTGATAACGAACCCATAGGTTCGGTAAGCGCTTGAAATGATTTGATTGATATGCTCATTAAAGGTTAGATGTTGATCAAACTAGATACCTAAGTCTTTCACAGTTTCACTGCGCTCAAGAACATGTTCGATCATTGTATAATTATATACCATGGGGTTGGTTTTCCTTGAAAAAGTTACTACTTTACACTTACTTATATTAAGATGAAGTTGATTCTTGGCACACCAGCTTTGCAATTTATTTATTTGACCTTGAACAAATGCACAGTCTTCCAAGCATGAAACGGATGAATAAAATTTTAGGTCGTCTGCGAACATTAACTTAGAACAAGCCAAAGATGCACATAGATCATTCACAAACAATATGAACAACAGTGGTCCTAAATTCGAACCCTGTGGTACGCCACTGGTTGAGACATGAACATGTGATATGTAGCCATTATAAAAAACATACTGTTTCCTTTCAAACAGATATGATGTTAAGAGCCCTAAATAAATGTTGTTGAAGCCCAGGTACTCAAGCTTTCGGAGCAAAATACTGTGGCTGACCCTATCGAAGGCCTTGGAGAAATCGTTGTACACCACATCTACCTGTCCTCTATTGTCTAATCTATCGCACAAGTATTGGCTAAATACCATTAAGTTTGTTAGTGTTGAACGCTGCCTTATAAAACCATGTTAGTCGATGGAAATATTATTTTTAGTGGACAGGTAAATGCGGTTGTACAGTACGATCTCCAAGAGTTTTGCAAAATTATTGAGTATAGATATAGCCCTATATTCACTGATACAGTGATAACTTTTTGACTTTGGAATTGGGCAATCCTTGGCAATTTTCCATTTATCGGAGAAAACACTCGTTGTTAGGATTAAATTGAAGATAACCCGTAAAGGATGAACTAATTTCCTGATACAATCTCTAACAATAGAAGATGGGATTTGATCAGGTCCAGCAGTCAATTTACTTTCTACAGGCCACTAAAATTTCCTCATCTGATATTGGCTCACAACTAATGTCGACGAGTCCACTATGACTGAAATCAAAGTTCAACTCAGTATCGACATTACCAGTTGAGTAAACGCTGGAGAAAAAATCAGCGAAGGCGTTGACTATACTTTGCGGATCACCAAATGACTCGTTTCCATACAACATTCGATTGGGAATCCTAGAAGTGTTGTTTTTACTATGTACGAAAGACCAGAAAGACTTAGGGTCATCATTTAGCTGATTTTGAATGGTTTGAAGATAGATATTATATGCCTCTTTGGTTTTAAGCTTAAATATTTTCCTGATTCTGCCGAATTCTATTCTTGGTAATCTTCGTTAGCACCAGACCTTTTAAATTTTTTGTGCGCTTTGTCTTTTTGTTTTACTAGTTTTATAATTTCACTGGTGTACCAAGAGGGATATTTATGCCTGAAATTTTTATATTGTAGAACGTGTGCATCAAATAATTCGTAAAGTTTGGTATAAAATTCATTAATTGCATCATTTGTGTCACTAGTGTTATTCAAGAAATCCCAATTAACCAATAACAAAGAATTGTACAGCGGAAAAAAGTTAGCAGGTCTAAAATTATATCTTTTCTGGTCAGTACTGACTGTGACGTATTCACTCTTTTTGCAGACAGTTTTTAATGTTACGGACAAAGAAGGATGATACACGTCTTCATCCACTAATGGAGCTAAATCTCTATAAACAATACAATCAATGTTACTTATTACTAAGTCCAGGATTCTATCATATTGGTTATGAATATTATTATACTGTTTCATGTTCCAGAAATTGAGCCAATTAACAATGTAGCGGGTCTTTGGGTCATTTAAATTATTTTCCACAAAGTTTGGAGAATTGAAATCACCCAGAAAGACAACACGTTTGGAATGCATGATTTCCCAGTTTTCTAACATTTCAAAAAAAGCTTCAAATATATCAACAGAAACATGTGGTGCAGCATATACGACAGCGAAATAAAGATTCTGATGAGATACAACGCATTTGCATACCAAAAAATCTATTTCTGGGAAACTCCTTGGGGCACATCAGATGGAGTTGAGTATGCTTGGGCCTTGAAGCCATTGTATGATACAAGCTGTTTCCGTTCAAGTAAGTGAGACCTGAAGGACCGTATATTGTTTTTTGTGAATCCAAAGCCTGTTAGTTTTCTCGATAAGACACCATGATCAATTTTGTTGAAAAAGTAATAACGTCTACTTGACTGTTGCTATCTCAGGATTCCGAAATATATTGTGTCAAAATAACTAAATCTGTAACCGTGGATCTATCACTCATAAAGCCGTGCTGCTGTTGAAGTATTTGTTTCATGATTGATGGATACAAGCGGTTATATCAAACAATTTCAAAGACCTTAGTAAAAGTGCTGATAAGAGATATAGGCCGATAGTAACATTACATTTATCATCAATTTTAAAAGCACAACAGACTGGCTATTTTTCTTTGCGCTGGAAACATACCTGATCTGAAGCTTAAATTGAATAGTACACACAGTATAGGCACAAGCACTCTTGCACAATCTTCCACTAAACATGATGGAATTCCATCAGGACCCCAAGTCATCTTGTCGTTTGATTTGTTGATAGCCAGAGAAACTTCAGCTTCCTAAACCAAATCAATACTTACATGAACCTTGCTATTCAAATGTTTATCCGAGTCACCACTCAAAACAGATTTCTGATAAACGTTGCTAAAGAAATTACCAAAAGCATTAATTATACTTTGAGGCTGAGAATGTGTATTACTTGGTATTTCATAGTGCCAGGAAAAATAATTTCTATAAACTGGAGCACATTTGTCAATAATACCATATAATATTAAGTAAAAATCATCTAAGGCAATATCAATGTCGTCAGAATTTTTGATAGCGCTCCGATCAGTTCCAGACAACTGTATATAAATCAACGGAAAATCAGCTTGTCTCTAATTATTCAGTTTGTTTGATAAATTGAACCTAAATGTAACATCCCTAGCGAATATGTCTGATATATTTATTAAACGTGCCAGATGGTGGTCAACCTCAGGAACCATAGGCATATCATTATAATAATCATATTAAGTAAAGTCAAATCCAGTTCTAGGCTAAATTAACGAAATTACGTATAACAAACCATCATATATTTGGAATAAAACACCACTATCGTCCCCACCAGTCATCTCAGTGATTGGGACTCGTATACCATGGGAATAATCTGTCCAGTTACCTCGGAGTCATCATAGACAAGTGACTCACTTGGCAGAAGCACACTGATGTATTGAAAACTAAATTCCAAATTACATTTCGGCAGCTTTATTCTTTATTGTGCAGCAATTCAAAATTAAGTTTGATCAACATCATTCGGTTGTAAAAAACGGTCATTAGACCCGCAATTATCTACGCATGCGCGGCTTGGTGTTTTCTTACCAAGACGCACAACATGCAGAGACTGCACAATCACCAACGCCTCGTGGTGCGTGTCAAATGAGACCAATCATCCAGTCATACCGCAACTGTCTGTTGCGCGGTCCAGTAGAATACACAGTCGAACAAGTTCGCAAACACTCCTGGTTGTGCCTCGCTCTTTGATTAAAATTGAATTGTGAATTTCAGACCAACCAAAATTATTTCTTCAGAACCGATCCAAATCATGTTTGGAATTACAAAATGGTTCGAGTAGTGAGACTAACAATGCTTAAGCGTTTCCTACTTCAAATGATTAACTTATTTTCTTTGCTCTATTTCTTCCTTCTTTCCTTTCCTACTTTCCCTTTTCTCCATGAACTTGTTTGGTATTTGGGTTGCTACAACTGACAAACTAACATAACGACGAGACTTTTAACTAAGAACAAAGGTCCACCGGACCGCCTTGACGAAGAACGACGGATAGTTACCACTATCATTTTACTAAAAATGTACAGGTATACGATTTAATAAGGTGCAACTTTGTTCGATAGATCTTTTCTGGGACACCTTGACAAAAAGAGACGTTTACTGAAACTTTTTATATTCGTCACTACAACTATTGTTTTTTTTTCTAAAACGACATAAAAAAAAGTTCATAGGGTGTCACTTTTTAGCGGGACACTGCGTACTATTATTTTGCTAGTTTAGAAAAACGATGAGCTGTAAAAAAGATGCCAATGAGTGGATAGTGTTTGTTTTCGTAACAAAGACTCATATTAGGACGACCATCAATCATGATTGATTAACCAATTTTTGATAAATACAGACGCATCGCTCCAAGAGGCAGCAGCGGTGGCCGCAGTAGTAGACTCTTCGGTCTCCTGATCAGTCGCCGTGCGCTGTGCGGGTTCGAGTCCCGACCCAGGAGAAATTTTTCTCTTGGCTATGGATGTACTGGAGGTACCACCCGGCGGATCTCGTAGGCGGAGCCAGAATGTGTGCATGTTGCATGCACACGTGTTCCCTCGCCAGAGTCCGTGTGGCGTTCCCCCTTTCCCATGTATCCCCTATAGCCCCACGGTACCCAATGGGTGCTTAGGCCTTAGGCCTTCGTGGTAGTTGAAGTATAAAAAAAAGATGAACGCAATATTGAATTAATGTAAATGATCTAGATGTGAATTATACAGCAGATTCGGACTATAGCATTTGTAGCTTCTCGGTGTCTAGAACTGTGTGAGCTTTTCGGTATTTTTTGTGGATTGCAGATAGATATTGAGCTTACCACAAATTGCCTTCTAACTTATGCGGAAGCTTCACCTAAATTCTAAATCCGACTGTTGAAACAACTTCAAGAGTATGAAATAAAGCCGCTCAGTTTTGTTAATAACTTTTTATGGCAGCTTAGCTGTAATTCCATGAATGGTTCACTAATAGCATTACTACTTTGTCTATGCGAAGAGCTACAACATGTCTCATTATTTGAGAGGATTCTCCTATAAAATGAGTGTGACACGGAACTATTGAGGCTTTTCTTGATATAAAAGCACAGAGCTCACCTTCCATAAGCCTTAACGATATTCGTCTAACTGTATTTCGTTCTCCATTTTTTCCATTAATGGAACCATTCCAAACCTTAGATTAATCTGATCTACTTGTCCTGTTGCGATGATCTAAATTCCTTATCATCCACATGATTAGCAGAAGCATGGGCTAGAAGTATACATTTTGCGCAAAGATATTCCCCTACTCATCCAGATGTAATCCCTGGTGCTCGAATGCCAAGAAGTCTATTGTGACTCTTGCAACATGTGGTCGGGCATTATCTTGCTGGAAAGTTGGATCTGCCAGGGTGTCAAGATAGGGTAAAAGATGGGGTTCTAGAACTTCGTGGATATAACGCTGCGCGTTCATGTTACCTCTGATGAAGATTAAATGTGACCTGGAACCATAAGCTATAGCACCCCAAACCATAACGCCAACAGTATGATGAACATGTCTTTCAACAAAAAACTGTGGATTCCTCCTTTCACCACGTCGCCTTCTAACCCTGGCACGACCATCGTGCATGCCTAAACAAAATCGAGACTCGTCACTAAAGACAATACTGTTCCATTCCTGATCCCAGAGTGACCGTTGTCTGCACCACTCAAGGCGATTACGTCGGTGTTCTCGAGTTAAAGGAAGGAACCAGTGTGGCCGGTATGAAAACAAGCCAAAACTTCTCATTCGTTGGAATTATGGTTTGGGGTGCTATAGCTTATGGTTCCAGGTCACCTTTAATCTTCATCAGAGGTAACATGAACGCGCAGCGTTATATCCACGGAGTTCTAGAACCCCATTTTTTACCCTATCTTGACACCCTGGCAGATCCAACTTTCCAACAAGATAATGCCCGACCACATGTTGCAAGAGTCACAATAGACTTCTTTCAACATAATGATGTCACATTGTTACCATGGCCACCAAGATATCCCGACTTATCCCCAATTGAGCACGTGTGGGATATGATGTGTAGGAGATTGCTCAATTTGCAACGTCCTCATCAGACTCTAGAAGCACTTCGAGAGGAGTTGGTGGTTGCCTGGAATGAGATACCACAGGAGGACATTGACCACCTGATCAGAAGCATGCCTAGGCGCGTTGGGGAATGCGTAGCACATCAGGGTGCATCCACACATTATTAAAGGTCAAAGGGCTTTAAAGCAGTGCAATCATTTTGAAATTTTTATCATTTACTTATTATGCTTCATTAAGTACTTATACAAAATTTTATTAAAATAAAACCATTTAAACTGGGTGTTCGGATTTATATGTCACTTAGTATATTTGGAAGATAGTCCAAAAGCAGAACAATAAACATTAAATACCGTTTAAATAATATTATGTAACGGGGTCGAGCATATTGGCTCGAAGCCTATCTGTGGGGTTATTACCGAGAAAACCTATATAATGTCAAAAAAAAAAACAATAAAATTGTCAACTTGTCGACTAGGTAGCTGGTAGTGTGCAAATAGTTCATTCCGTGCCTGCTACGGCTGAGCATGAAGTGAACGACTGCTAGTTGCTAGTTGACATCTTGAACATAGTGTCAGAAAAAAAACAGATTGTATTTTTTGTCGCAGATTGCATAACAATTAACGGGTGTGTTACGACGAAAATTCTGGGTGGGTTTTCGCGTTTTTTTTTGGAGGGTTTTTGGCGTCTTAGGGACAATGGGCGAGGGTGAAGTATCTGGTACATTAAGACGACAGTCACCTCATGCTCGCTTGTCATTTTGGAAGGCTGGACGTCCTCTTTTGGGAGAGTCCTGGGGCTATGCTGGTTTTCGGGGTGCGACCTCAGAATCTGCAATGATGTCTTCGCGCAACTTCAGCATGTTACGGGACTTTTCACACTATTGTAGTAACATGGTACATTAAGACGACAGTCACCTCATGCTCGCTTGTCATTTTGGAAGGCTGGACGTCCTCTTTTGGGAGAGTCCTGGGTCTATGCTGGTTTTCGGGGTGCGACCTCAGAATCTGCAATGATGTCTTCGCGCAATTTCAGCATGTTACGGGACTTCTCACACTATTGTAGTAACAGATTGTATAGGGATATTAAATCGAAAAGAAAAACAAACGAAGTGTCACCTGGAAGTTCACCGTTGTGACCGAAAAGTTTACAATAAAGAAGATTGTTTCACACATATGGCTTATATTGTCTAGAAATATTAGGGATTCTTAAATTTTGTAGTACAATAAATTAAATGTCTCGCATCTGGCGTGAAAAAATCACGTGAGAGGTTTAACTCGACCCGCTGAAATAATGGACGCACCATAACTTTAGGGATAGGCATACTCAGGTTTCGATGAAGAGGGGCAGAATCTTACGATGCAACGTAAATCATTAATTACCAAATATGGAGCAAACTAGATGAATATCATGAATGGATAAGGATAGTCTGTAATTCTAATATGCATATAGACGAATGGACAATATATAAAGTGCCATCATTTTTTTAGCTAAAAATAGTTGGTTAATAATTAAATTCTGCTTATGCTTTTTACTGCCCGATTAATTTTATGATCCTTATCAAATGATCAGTTACTTAGTATAGAGCACAGGACATTGAATTACTTGCTTTGGATGTTTGTTACATTGAAATCAACGGCAAACTTATAAAATATAAACTTTTTACTCAGATGTATTTTTCTAATCAGAACAATAACGTAACGTGCTTGAGATAAATAATTGACAGTATCCACTTCAACTGTAGGCCTTGAAGATATGTATATTTATGGAATGATATACATTAAATTTAAGCTAAAACTGAGAAAACCTCATTAATAACTAATAGGCAAATACGATTACTCAGTACACAGTATCAAAATATATTCCAAATATTCATTGTTATGATGCTACAAGTATGCTGGGAAATCGCTTTTTGAGTGACCTACCAGAAAGTTCTTTTGCTTGCATACTAAACTGATCCCGAAATTCGAGAGGCTCATTAGAACCGTTTACTAACGCATTCTTTTTGAAGTTAGCCTTCCTTATATTCCCCCCTCCAAAAAGTTATCCCAGATAAAATGAGATACCGTAGCGTCATCTAGGAGAACATTTTTGTCACTGCTGTTTATCTATTTACTATATATACTTTGAAAAGCTTAGTGTCCTATAGATGGCGATGTAGCCAAAACTATATGAGCATATAAAATGTGTCTTCAGCGCCACCTATGGGAGGCTAACTGTTTCAAACCACAAGCTGTGAAAACATTTCATAGATGACGCTATGGTATCTCATTTTATCTTGTATTATTTTTTGAACGCAGGAGTACAGCGTTGGGTTGGCTGTTTCATGTT